GACATAAGCCCGGCTAACCTTGGATATTTGAAAGTCAGCCTTGTTGACAAACCCCGTGTCTCGATGTTCAGGTAGAACATACCCTGCATAGGTCTGTCAACATGCTGCCTGAACAACATATTCTGTTCAGCAGCCTTTATTTGGGCTCTTGTGGTCGGGCTACAAGTCGGTTGCCAACTCAATCTTGTCTCCTCGTCGCCGGCCCGACCTCCTAATTTCAAAACTGAGACCAAGTTCTTCAACGGCCTTGTTTGCCGCCTTAAAAATAAACGCACCCGCCCCCGCGTTCTCGTGGCCTTTTACCATTCGCAGGAGGGGATCTGAGCTCTTAAGGATCTTCAATGCTAATCCCAGGACCATTTTGCGATGCATGCACTCCAAACTAAGAACTCCCCTGCCTCCTTGATGTCGTGAGAAATACAAACGGGGAACGGACGACCTAGGATGCAAACTTCTTTGCATGTGCATCATCTTTCGGGTATCCCTGTCGATCTTGCGCAACTCATCAACTGTCCACTTCACTAATTGAATAAAGACTAGTTTAAAATGTGAAGTAGTAAACCCGGCTGAATTTATTTATTTATATCTTTATATATAGCTTTGTAGTTTACCAAAGAAGTCTTGTGCGGTGAGCAATTGAAATGTGAAATCTGAATTACGTCAAAGTTATACATATATATGTATAAATTTTTTTTTAAGTTAAGTTTACTTATCGTTATGCTTACAAGTTAGTTAATTTTTGTATTTAGGATAAGATTAATTGTCCTATAAATGGAAATTATTCTGTTGGGCAAAATATATACTGTGTGGTTTCCAAACAAAAGACCCGGTTACGATTCCCGGCGTTCCCAACTTTTTTTTCCCAAAGCCAAAGTACCAAATTAAAATTAAAATCAAATTAAAAATGCATTAGGACTTGCAATTCAGATAATTATTGTTCATTATCCTTCACTTATTTTGTGTGTTTATTGCAATTCATTACCAGTTTTCTCGTATATCTAGTAATTTATTTGACGTGAAAAATTAATAGTCAATTTTCAATCCTAGAGAAGTTCATCTGTAGAATATATGGTATTCAACACTTTGATGACGTTGACAAAATCAGGTTTTATTATTTTCAAAAATGTAAGAATCACAAAACGTATGACATGGCGTGAAAAGTAATTTTGGAAATGAAGTATAATATCACATCTGGCAAATGCTCAGCAACGTCAAAACGATCTGGCTTATTTAAATTAATTTTGACAATGAAAAATGTGACTCCTAGAGTACGAAGAAATAGGTCTCCCGTTTCCGTCCGTCTGTCTGTCGTCCGGATTTTTATTAGACAGATATTCTCCGAAAGTACTGGGCCGATTGTTGTCAAATTTTGTATTTATATTAGGAATATTATGTGGATGGTAAAACCCTAACCAAAGTTTGTCAAATCATCCTTACTAATAACCGAGTTACAAAGGCTAGTGTTATTGGAACAGTTGAAATAATCACTCTATTTCTTTTGTGCATGTTATTAAAGTGTATTTCAACCTGGTGTCTTGGGTTTCTGTAGGGAGTTATCAACCAACAAGCAACTGCATAACCCGAGTCACCTAAGAGGATGGCTTGTTCTTGGTATCTCTAAATAATGGGTAATACTGAAGAATTTCTCCAAATTCTACTATCATGCATATAACCTGGCCACGTGGCATCAACACTTGTAAACCATTCTCTGATATTACATGTAACTTGTACGTTTATTGAAGCAAACTGCTTCCTGCATAATATGTATTCATCTCTATGTTGTAAAGGCTTTTTTTATTTTTTATCTGAGTGCAATCTAGAGCGCCAATAACAAAAGGAAAATTAAATGCTTCTTACCATTGTTGTCTAGCTGCGTCGATTTCAGCCTGTTCTGCTGGAAATTGAATCCACTGATTTACCTTTTCGTAGATTTTTTCACTAACAAGTTTTACGGTTCTGGAGACAGAACTTTGATGGGTACCACTGTCCTCATCAACACCAACTTGAAAATCAGGATCACCGACATACCTTAAAAATATTTCAATTTTTTGTTTTGCTGTCAAAGCACCTCCCCTTCGTTCATTGTTTTCGCCCAAAAACACGTCGGCTAGGTACTGTACGTTGTCTTCTTCAAATCGGTACATAGCTTTGTAAGTAGAAGCACCAGCTTGCCTTCTAGCCTTATAAATTTTTGGTCGGCGAATGAGCAGCATGAATTGAACCATTTTGAACTTTATTCACGTCAATCAATTCACGACTCATGATAATTTTATTTAATTCCTCTTAGAACAAATAAAACAGTAGCTGCTAAAATAAGACTGATTTTGGCAAATGACATACCCTCTAAGAAAAAAGATGGTGGGTCGGCGGAGCTGGTACCTGCTAAGATAAGAGTGATTTTGGCAAATGTGATACCTTTTAAGAAAACAGAGGGCAGGTGGGCGGTGCTAAATAATACCTGCTAAAATAAAATTGACTTTGGCAAACGAGATACCTTCTAAGAAAAGACAGGCCGGATGAGCGGGGCTAATATTTGCTAAAATAAGACCGATTTTGGCAAATGACACCCTCTAAGAGAAGAGAGGCCGATTGGGTGTTAAGATTGATTTTGGCAAATGAAATATTCTCTAAGAAAATAGAAGGCGGACGAGTGGGGCTAGTACCTGCTAAGATAAGACTGCTTTTAGCAAATGACGTATTCTCTAAGAAATTTAATTAAATTATAAGAAAATTATGATAAAACTAATAAAAAAACAAATTCTAAAAATGTAGATCACAACTTAACTCTGTACCTGCGAGCGCAAAGTGCGTAGCTCCAAATTGTCAGTTTTCAGTGAGAGCAATTATTTGTGGTTTGTTTTAACTTACCAGAAAAATGATTAGCTTATGCTAAATATATAATACAAAATATTGAATATAACAAAAAAAAATTGTAAATACCTGAATTAGACAAAAAAGCGTCAACATTTTTTAGCAAAAAATACCCATTATCCAATTTTATGTAAAAATGGAGTTATGCACTTTGCGCTCTCAGGTACAGAACTATTTTCTTCAACAGTTATAAATACTCTCCAACCATATAACAATTTTAAAAATTAAAAACGTTAAAATTACAAATAATAAACGTAAAAAAAATAAAAATTCTCAACCATTGAAAAAATCAAAACTAAACGTGTTCTTCAAAATTATAAAAGACGTTTCTAGCTAATACGACCTGCCAAATGACCACTCGTGGACGTAAACACTGAGGGCTTGATGCAAGTAATAAACATCGACCATCGGGGTGTCCCTGCTACCCGATACCTGACCGTCCGACACGTTTACGCCAAGGCATCCTCTCTCTCGCGCGCGCCACTGTTACGTACTTGGTAGATATGTGTCAGGACTTTACTAATGACTTATCCGTGCATTTACGAGTGTGTACGCACACAACACGAACATAATCGAGGATTTGTATATGTGTGATACAAATAAATAAATGAGTATTGTGCTTCCTCTGTATACAAAAACTGTTTGAAAGCTTCCTTTACAAGTCAATGTTATTTAAAAGATATTAACGACCAAAGACTTGTGATCGCAATAGTAATAAAATAAAAATACAAAAGAAAAATTAACTCCCTGCGAGGATCGTTTGACACCCTAATTAATTTATTTTGGTTCCATAAATTTCTAAAATAAATGTCAAGATCTTTTCTGTTACAGCAAGTATTAACATCTGATCTCAGTACACAGTCGTATACTAGACGCAAACATTTAGTGCATTTATGGCTTCATACCAATTTAACTTCCATTATAATTCAATACGCCGTCACTGCCGGGTGTCTTCAACCCGCTTACTGATAACCTACCTGAAAAGACCTTTTCTGGCAAAAGCACAGGGCAGTACTGTCTCGGTCGTCCCTCACACGTAGCATGGTTTGCATTTGCTAAGTTTTATGAAGGGTCGGCTGTAAAGTACTTTAAACGTCAAAGCCATAAACGCACTAAATGTTTGCGTCTTGTGTAGTAGTATTTTATATTATAAGTGAAAGAAATGTTATATTCTAAGCGAGTGGGAATGTAGGGTCATGAGCGCGTTAACGCGAGTGATACTGCTCTCACGAGCTTATAATGGTACTTCGCTCACTATGATATACGACGTTTTGTCTTAGTGCTCATTCACAATGGGTATAAAGCATAAGGCGGAATGGGACGATTTGCCAAGTTGGCTTTGCGCCAAAATGTCTCGCGCCGAATTGTCCTAGACCGAGCATAAGGATATCATAAGCATTAATGCATAAAAATTTATGTTTAGTGCTCTATGATTGTAGTCGTTCACAATGAGCATAAGTGCTCACTCACAATGGGCATAAAGCAAAGGATGTCCTAAGCATTATGATCATTGTGAAGCATAGAGCACTAAACATACATTTTTATGCATTAATGCTTATGACATCCTTATGCTTTATGCCCATTGTGAATGAGCACTTACAGTAGCAGCTTTAACATAAAATTAAGAATAACATTAATCCAAACTGACAGCCCATTTAACCTAAAAAATCATATTGTCATTAGATGTATTAGTAGTATCCATAGTTGTGTAGGTAAGCAGAGAAAAATGTTGTGCCTCGGTGGAAGTCGAACCCACGTCTCTTTGCTTTCCGGGCAAGTATCTTAACCACTGGACCACGAGGCGACTTATCTTTTCTCTGCTTATTGTGCCGCCACAGTTGCATCACTTATGAGCACTTTACTTCACTTGTTAATAATGTTGAATTTTTATCTCGTAAAACAGTTGCACAAACTACCTTAAAACCTATTACTCTTAAGATAAAATATATAATGAATTAATTAACCATTACACAAATACCACAAAGCTTTACACTGGTTTCATTTATATTGCAAAAGTATTTATTGTCTTAATTTTGGGTGTGCTTGACTCTATTAAGGCATATTTTTGCTCAACGGATATGCTTCTAAAACTTTGAGGCACTTGACTAAAGATTAAATTTACGTTGCAGTAGAACGGCGGACTCTTTAATGGCAGAATCAGGATGTCGATTGGATCATCCAGCTGCTGCAAAATTTCGTCAGCACGTGATGGACGGAGATTGGACAAAGGCTGATCATGATTTACAAGAATTAAACTCTTTAATAGGATCTTCACATAACTTGATGGTAATAAAAAAAAAACTGGCCGAGTCGCTAAACAACAATTATGTTTTAGGAAATGAAATTTCTTTTGTTGGAGCAAAAATATTTGGAATATCTGGAAGATGCAAGAGTACTAGATGCTCTACATGTGTTGCGAAATGAACTAACACCATTACAGCACAATACTTCAAGAGTACATCAACTGTCCGGTTATATGATGTGTTCAAACACGCAAGAATTGCATGAACGCACGAATTGGTAAGGGTGTATGTTAAAAGATAACTATAAAATTATGTTTTCAAATATTAAATTTGATAAGTTATTTCTGTATTGAATATATTAGAGTTTATAGTTTTTACTTCCCGAGCGTAAGCAAAGGAAGTATTGTAATCGAGTCCGTCGGCCAACTCTCTACTTTTACGTTTTCTCGATTTTTCATGACTCCTAGAAGACGAAGAAATAAGTCTCCCATTTCCGTCTGTCTGTCCGTCTGTCTGCCGTCCCGGATTTTTATTAGGCAGATAATCTCCGAAAGTACTGGACCGATTGTTATGAAATTTTGTACTTATATTAGGAATATCATGTAGATGGTAAAACGCTGACCAAAATTTGTCTAATCATCCCCACCACTAATACGATGACGTCACTTCAAAATTGTACATAGTAAATGGGTCTTAAATTGTATAAAATAACATAGTCCCACACATGTAGTTTACGACTCCGAATTGAGTTTTTACCCGAAACGTCCAGATTTTTGGAAAAAAAAAATCAAAATTATAAAACAACATTTTGCAATTTAATTTTTAATCTGCTAACCCGAATGTTCTGAAATGTTGTAGATGTTTTAAGGCTCTAAAGAGCATCATAAATCTTTAGTCAAAATATATTTGGTTATCCCCTCCAAAAACTTGATGACGTCACCACAAAATTTTGCTGAATAAATCCTATCTAAAATGTACAAAATATGGTGAGTCTCTTCTTGTGATTTATCATTCCATTCAAATTTTTTCGATTTGCATATACAGGGTGACTCAAAAAAAATTAATGAATGCGCAAAATTTATTTTATTGATTTAATCAGGAATTACAGAACCGAATGCTTTGAAATCTTGGAGATGTTTTAAAGTTATCATAGGCATGGTAAATTTTTTATCAAAATGTATTTGGTCGTCCCACCTAAAAAATTTATGACATCACCACAAAATTTTGCTGAATAAATCCTATCTAAAATGTACAAAATATGATGAGTCTGTACTTGTGATTTATCATTCCAATCATATTTTTTGTATTTGCATATAAAGGGTGACGCAAAAAAATTAATGAATGCATGAATTTATTTTATTGGTTTAATCAGAAATTACAGAACTGAATGCTTTGAAATCTTGGAAATGTTTTAAAGTTATTATAAGCATGGTAAATTTTTTATCAAAATGTATTTGCTCATCCCCCCTAAAAAATTGATGACGTCACCCTAAAATTTGGTGAATAAATCCTATCTAAAATGTTAAAAATATGATGAGTCTGTACTTGTAATTTATAATTCCATTCATATTTTTACTTCCCGAGCGTAAGCAAAGGAAGTATTGTAATCGAGTCCGTCGGCCGACTCTCTATTTTTACGTTTTCTCGATCTTTCATGACCTCTAGAATACGAAGAAATAGGTCTCCCATTTCCGTCTGTCTGTCCGTCTGTCCGTCTGTCTGCCGTCCCGGATTTTTATTAGACAGATAATCTCCGAAAGTACTGGACCGATTGTTGTGAAATTGTGTACTTATATTAGGAATATCATGTAGATGGTAAAACGCTAACCAAAATTTGTCTAATCATCCCCACCACTAATGCGATGACGTCACTTCAAAATTGTACATAGTAAATGGGTCTTAAATTGTATAAAATAAAATAGTCCTACACATGTAGTTTACGACTCCGAATTCAGTTTTTACCCGAAACGTCCAGATTTTTGGAAAAAAAATCAAAATTATAAAACAACATTTTGCAATTTAATTTTAATCTGCTAACCCGAATGTTTTGAAATGTTGCAGATGTTTTAAGGCTATAAAGAGCATCATAAATCTTTAGTCAAAATATATTTGGTTATCCCCTCCAAAAACTTGATGACGTCAGCTCAAAAGTTTGCCGAATAAATCCTATCTAAAATGTTCAAAATATGATGCGTCTGGACTTGTGGTATATCAGTCCATTCATATTTTTTGGATTTGCATATACAGTGTGACTCAAAAAAATTAATGAATGCGCAAAATTTATTTTACTGATTTACTCAGGAACTACAAAACCGAATGCTTTGAAATCTTGAAGATGTTTTAAAATTATCATAAGCATGGTAAATTTTTGATCAAAATGTATTTGGTCGTCCCTCCTAAAAAATTTATGACGTCACCACAAAATTTTGCTGAATAAATCCTATCTAAAATGTACAAAATATGGTGAGTCTCTTCTTGTGATTTATCATTCCATTCAAATTTTTTCGATTTGCATATACAGGGTGACTCAAAAAAATTAATGAATGCGTAAATTTATTTTATTGATTTAATCAGGAACTACAAAACCGAATGTTTTGAAATCTTGCAGATGTTTTAAGGTTATAAAGAGCATAATAAATTTTTAGTCAAAATACATTTGGTTATCTTCTACAAAAAACTGATGACGTCAGCTCAAAAGTTTGCCGAATAAATCGTATCTAAAATGTACAAAATATGATGAGTCTGTACTTGTGATTTATCATTCCATTCATATTTTTGGATTTGCATATGCAGGGTGACTCAAAAAAATTAATGAAGGCGTGAATTTATTTTATCGATTTAATCAGGAATTACAAAACCGAATGCTTTGAAATCTTGGGAATATTTTAAAGTTATTATAAGCATGGTAAACTTTTGTTCAAAATGTATTTGTTCATCCCTCCTAAAAAAATTGATGACGTCACCCTTAAATTTTGCTGAATAAATCCTATCTAAAATGCAAAAAATATGATGAGTTTGTACTTGTGATTTATCATTCCATTCATATTTTTTAGATTTTCTTAAGAGGTGGTTCAAAAAAATTAATGAAGTCAATTTATTTTATTGATTAAATTAAAGGCAACACTTATTATTAGTATTACACCCCAACCAACCCAATTTGGTAGACACAAAATTTGTTAAAGGAAAAACTCGGTTGAAACATAAGGGTAGCACGCTTATTTACATCGACTTTAACATTACAGACCTGCATTTGTTTTATGCGTTCACTTGGTTCCGCGAATGTGAAATAGACATGTTTATAATCAACCAATTGTGAATTTCACCGTCAAGAATTAAAATAAAACCCAATGTTTTATATAATAAGCGGAAGTCGAAGCAATAAAACCGATGGTCGTTTTGTTTACAGTTTCTCTGTTTGACTCTCACGTATGCTGTTACGCCTGTCATCTTAAATTAAGAATGTTTATACATACACGATTTTCAGTTGCCTCTGATACGTATACGTGAGTAAATTGTTTCGTTATTTTATTGATTATTACAAATCAATATTCAAAACGACCCAATTCATTTTCCCGAAAATTTGAGAATATAATAATTTTATTCTTAGTATTACACTACGTCTATCCCAACTGATATACGTGTCCTTGCAAAAATGTTGATGACGTCATCGCAATTTTTTTTAAAATTCCCACTACAAAAATGTAATGAGAAAAAAAACACAATAGGCATGCAGTCGTCAAGTTTCCGACAGCGAGGGAAGTACTGTCTAAACTCTTTAGACCAATTTTTTTCGCTTACATTGCAAACGCAGGCTGAACCCTACGAGATTTATCAAAATAATGTACTAAGTATTGTACACCTTGAAAAGGTCTACAGAAAACTCCCCGATGGTATATATCTATCTCTTATGGATAACCCACAGTAACATTGTTTTACTCGGAATTTAACGCGTGCGAAGTCGCGGGCAAAAGCTAGTTAAATATATTTACATTGATCATACGGCGCGGAGGCTGCAGAACTATTATTTGCAGAGGTTATCATAAAAGGCAAATCGTAAAATCAAATTATATATATTTTTTAAAGTGCTAGAGTTGTCAGATTATACTTCAAGGGCGAGGGAAGCGCTGTCGAAATAGCCTTCCACCAATTTTTTAGTCGTAGGTTTTATTTTATAAAAGTATTGTGTTGCTTAATTGTGATGCTCTTTGTTTTAGGGATGGAAAAGGTCTGAAATCTCGAACAAACTTAATGGAAAAATTACAGTCCTACTTACCTCCAAGTGTGATGTTACCACCTAGCCGCTTACATACATTGCTCAACCAAGCTCTCGAATTACAGACCTCACGTTGTAGTCATCACAATACAGCCCAAGTGATTACGTTAGACAACGCTTCCCTTTTAGTGGATCACTGCTGCGCAAGGGATACATTTCCAACACATACTATACAGGTAAGTAAGCCAATATTTTTTGTTAATAAATTGTTACTTAATATGTATATTGTAAATTGTAGTACTATTGTATGAAAAGTAACATAGTCTAATGAAATACTTACTTGTTACTTGTAAATTGCAGACATTTTTTATCTCCTATCAACTGCTAAAACGTATTTTTGCTATTAGAAATAAAATAGTTTCTGACCAAAGACTTAAAGATTTTAGACCCATGGAACTTTGTCATAGTTATACATTAGTCAGTTTTGATGATGTTGAAGTCTGGTATTACAATGTCATATCCACTTTTCAACATTTCATAAATATTCAAATTATTGGTAGACAACACATTTTATAATTTTTACACTTATTAGCAACACTAATATTACGTTGTTACAGGTACAGTGTAGAACTACATTTCGTTATGTTTTGAGATGTTGCTAATGAAATTTTCTGATTTCTGTCTTAACGCAGATGAAACTGCTTGATGAACCCGGTTGACAAATTAAATTATTTATTAGTAGTTTGTTAAAAAACAATTTATAACTTTTGTGCACAACTATCTTAAGACGGCTGGATTACAAGTTGGTTATCATGATGGTGGTAAATTTATTCAACTCATCTTTATTTGCTTGGCTTATTTAATACATTTATTTCTTGCAAACTTATAGAAATTAAAAGTCAGTTTTTTTCAACAAATCGTTTGAAGTTAAAAAAATATGTTCTGTAAGGTTTCTAATTATCTAACTTGTGAAAAGTTGTGACTATTTCAAAGATTGCATTTTTGCCTCAACTCGATTGCCATATTTTTCATTGCGGTATTTTTTTCATAGATGAATGGCTACATATCTGTAAAATTCAAGTATTTTTCATTGACAACGAATCTCCACTGTATGTTATTTTGCATTTGAATAATTTATACCAATACCATCAGTGGTGGTTCTGAATCTTCTGCTTTATTTATAAGACGTTCATGTCACTGTGTTTTGGCCCTTTTTTTTTATCAAACAGTACATCAACAAAAACTCATGAATTTGGCCCTGTTTTTTTGTAAACATTGTAAAGTATGTCTAACGAAACGGAAATAGCAATTATATCTTATATTATACTAAAATCTGTTATTTTTAAATCACTTGTTGGAATATTATTAATTCTCGATGTCATTTCTTTTGCACGCTGATGTGTCTTTTCAGCAGTGTAGAACGGAAAGCATATAATATTTACCAATATAACAATGAACAATGAAGAATGTAATTTTTGTTAATAGTTGTAATCATGGAATAAATATCTTAAAGGAATGATATTGCGCAGGTCCAAGGCCACGCAATGACGGCGAGTGGTGACCACTTCGATCACCATCAGACGTGGATCGAGCGTGTTTGCGCGCTCTGTTACTGTTTTTCCGCTTTTTTCTGAGAGAATTTCATCTACAATGCGTTGTACAAGGTTTGGAGGCAACAACAATAATCGTTACACAACATTTGAACAAGGTATCCACTTTTATCGGTTTCCCAAAAATGCCGAAATACAAAAATTGTGGGTTATTGCTTGTTGTCGCGCTAAAAAATAAATACAAACTAGGCACGAATTTGTTCCAAAAATTTTGTGGTCGACGATTATGAAAGAAACCTTAAACACGAACTACAAAATTATTTTCCCAAAAATGCAAGAAAATTTAAGTCAACTGGGATTCCTTCATTGTTTCTGCTTAAAGGCAAAGAAATTTCTACGAAAGCAAGATATACTCAAAGTTACCAATAATTATATGAAACAGTTTTTACAAAAATCTACGATCATCAAATGTAGCAAGAATGTAAAAAAAAAATATTTTTCCGATTAAGAATATATTTTAGAATTAAACAACTTAATCGCTCGTTAAAGGATGTAATTGGGGTGAAATAAATAAAAAAAAAATCTAAAATTTGTAAGTAAGCACTACATTTTTTTGTTTCATATTTTTTTACATAAATTACAGTAATATTCTGTCGGTTGTAACACTTATTTTATTTTTTATTATTTTATATTATAATAATAGAGTGAACTATTTTTATTTGATTTTAGCATGTCCGTTTATTTTTTATTATTTCAATCATGCATTCTCATTCTAATAAATATATTTTTATAAGTGTGTGGATATTATTTATTTCTCATAATAAGTAAATAAATAATGTATGTTGAATGTTTTACTACGAAAAAGCCTTTGGACTAATCAATTTTGAAAGTTATTTGTTAATTATTTCCGACATAAAGACTCTCCACAAAAATATTTGGTTGTTTTTTTATTGCAATACGTTTAGAGAAACCTCAAAAGGTGTTGTACATATGTACATTGTGTTGAAATTTGATCAATACGTACATAATTCTTCTTAGAACACTTTATCACCCACAGTTTTCTAAAAATACCGAGAAATTTTTGTTTTACAATAGTATTCCCCTACAAATCTGTGAGAAGTGGTCACCACTTCGCGTCACTGCGCGCAGCGGACGAGATTGCGTCGCATGAGTATCATACCTCTAAACCTTATTGTATCATGGTTGTAATTATATAATTATCATTTTTTATTTTGATTTTTGGTGCATTTTTAACAAAAAGGATGAGTACATGGTAAAACTTGGTAGAATGTGCAAAAGATTACTGTCAGTCCATAGTAATGTAATTTTTTTTTTATTTAATATTTGTGACGAACTAGTGGTGAGGTATCTACTTGTTGAAGGTATAAACATTTGTATTGCCAGTGTTTATGAAATTGTTACTGTACATTTTTAAAGTAAATAATAGACTACATAAAATTCTTTTCTTGGAAATTAACTAAACATGTTCCTTTTTTTATTTATATTTATCGTTTCCTGCGCTTTCTTCGCGATATTAATTATGTTAGATTGTATCATGGAGGTAATATGACAGGAAGGAGCGTCCGTCACTTAATTAATGTTATATAAACGCCAACAAAAGAGCTCCACGTAAGAGCCATTTATGATCATTTCCGTATTACATCGGAAACGGTCAGTTGTCAACGGAGGATCAGAGGCGGTGGACTTTGGTTACGAATGGGTTCACATGTAGCAAATAGTAAAAGAATTTGACCTTTACCCATTCACACCCCTTACTATTAACATCGATTAAATACTTATGTACTTAATCAATGCCATTATTGTTAGTTATTGGTTTTTTTTATTGAATTACGTTCCCCTACAGACCGGAGGCCCAATTACAGGGGAACGGAGGACTTACACAACACCCAGAGCAGGGCAGGAATCGAACCCACGACCCAAGGTGTAGCGGGCAAGCACGATGCTACCTAACGCACCCGGGTCCATTAACTTGCTACATGTTATTTTTTGTATCGTATGTTCAGCCTCTCGACGAGAGCTTTTGAACGCGTCACTGGAACAACCAGTTTCTCGGAGGAGTTGGAAGAACCATGTATGATCCTAGTCGAAAGTGCGGTATCATGGGCTTTTTCAAACTATCTTCCCTCCTCTCATTCTGCCTCCGTAGATTATATGTAATTTTTATTTATTTATTATTTTTTTTTGTTTCAGATATTAAATGATCATTGTGATGAAGTTTGGTTTTGCCAGTTTTCTCCAGATGGCACCAAACTTGCTACGGGTTCAAAGGACACTAATGTAATCATTTGGGACGTTAATCCAGAAACATGTACACTTTCTTTAAAGAAAATTCTAGAAGGACACAATTACGGTAAATACTTTTTCAAAATACTGTTTTTAATTTTTCTCAAAACACATACATTATGCAAATCGAATTATAAGCTGTAAAAAATGAAAAATTGGCTTTAGGTTATTTAGACAGTACTTGCCTGGCCCCTGAAGTACAGTATAATAATATAATTAATAATAATAATAATAATTGCTGTTCCTAACAGACAACATAATAGAAACATACCACACCAAAGTTTCAAAATATCTGGAATTGTCAATAGAAATTAAGGCAATGCTAAATCTTTACCTTTAATTATCTCCAATGTAGGTGTAGTACCAAATAGTTTAGTTGAGAATTTGAAATATTTACACTTAAATGATTCAATAATTGTCAAAATGAAAAAAGCTGTTTGGTTAGGAACATGTCATATTGTTTGTAAGTTTCTCGAAGAGTCTGATCATGTCAGTCAGAATAGTTTGGGACCAGTAGGCCAGAGTAGTGTAGGTCACATTTCAAGTGATGCGTGGATAAATGCGGTAGTTACGCTAGGCTTTTGAGGATGGGGTAAGATTAGAGAATTCTGTAATTCTAAGATCTCAAAGTTTTTTATTAATCTGACCAATGCATATCATTACTTGGTCTTAGTACTCGTAATGATAGAAGTCTTGCATGAATGCAGGTCATTTCCGGATCAGTGGTGAGTCTTAAAATAATAATTATAATTTATTGTAATGCATTAATTTAAATCAAATTTTGCATACGTCAACAAAGATTTAAGTGTGACATTTCACACACTAAGTACAATACTTATTGTATCTCAGAGATCCGTCATCTCAAATGGAAAAGTTATGTATAGTACATTTATTGATGAAAAAAATCCATGAATTTCTCAAACGAATAGAAGACATTGTCCAGAAGGATTTTTTTTTAATTTTGTTCATATTTTTCAAAGATTGGGGTAGCACATTATCAAACTTAACACCGTAATATCGAGTAGCATTTCTCAATTCATGGAGTATTAAAAAATCAGTGTGATAGAGATCACAGTATCTAGTGGGATATAGTTGGATTCATGTATCTTTTGACACACGTGACCGAAGCTCTTTAGAGATTAATGGAGTTGGCCATGTCCCAAATTTTGTGAAGCGCCATCTCACCACGTATTATTAAAGATTATACTGAGGTTATAGTAACGTCAGTCATCGGTGTTTATTTAACAGCAATTGAAACAACAGTATTAATTATGAATAAATAAAGGTATTTCACAACAAACGATTCGACACTAGCGAACACCGAATACGACATAAATTGCAGCCGTGTCGGTAAAATAGGTACAATTCGCTTGGGTCAGTCCCTTTCCGTTTACACCGTCATTTCTTCAGCTTAGTCCGTACCGGTATAGATCAGTCCATGCGGCAGTGCTGGACCGACCTATCCATTAGTCTACTACTTGGTCTGCGTTTACAGCATGAGGACTTTTTGGTGTTTAGAGTGCGGACTATTATCCAAACACGATCTTTATATAGTAAAGTAGGCTTTGATATGGTTTCTTTAAGTTGGATAAACTGATTTAATGATTTAGTTTTTTGTCTGTCAGTAGCTACAACCGTGGTCAGTAGTCTGATTGACATTTGCTTTGAGCTGGATTGCCACTTTTCTACTTCATTTATTAGATCAGAATTATTAGACGCGATTTTTTAATCAAGCAAACAAATGTTTTAATTTTGTCAGCATAGATAATTTATCATTGTGACAGATTCACAGATCATTGCCAGATTATTTAAAAAGAAAATGCCTAAAATAGTTTTACTGCAACAAAAAATTGCAATAAAAATTCCTCATTCCTGCTTTGGCAAAGTTGAGCCAAAAATGTGTGGTAGTTTTAGACAATGCACCGTATCATTCGGTTCAGTTGGATAAACCACCCACTTTTTCTAGTAAAAAATGTGAAATGCAGGAATGGCTCTTTAAACATAGTGTTGAATTTGACAAAAAAAATTCCAAGAAACAGTTGTGGGATTTAATAACCCCCCAGATTAATTAATATTTTTATATACACTTAACGTAGACTGCAACGTCGAGTATTTTGTCCACATTGATGAAGAACCAAGACATTTCTCTAGTCTGGGGAAATACACTACAACAGTCTTCAAATTACTTGAGCTGCTTTTTGTACAAGTTCAGAGACTTTCCTGGTAACAGTTTTAGAGAAACGATAGCCGCTTTATCCTTAATGGACTGCGGATTTTCAACGACTTTCTTCTCCATTATTTAAATTGATAGGAGTAACTAATTTTCCACAATTTTTGATAAAAATGTTATTGATTTAGAAACTGTTTCCTTAATACCCCAGGCATGGCTTTCTAAATACTAATAAATTTGTCATTTCCGAATTTTTCCTATCAATATTTTAAAAGTTTAAGTAAAATTTACAGAAGAGTTGGATAAAATATTGTGTTATGTAAATATGTACTTACATTCGAGTATTACGGCACTTATTCACTCAAGAAATCTTATTGTTATTAAACGATTCTTGCGTGAATAAAGTCTTACTTTTATATAATAAGTACTCCTATCTATTATTATTTCCTTAGACATAAATAATGTAGAACGTTTAGCCCGACTCGAATACGGCATGCGTTTGGAAACAAAACACAGCGGAAATAATATTTAGTAACTATTTCGCACGGAAGGATTCTAATGGAAAATATTTTGAAAACTTATAGAGCAATTAAATCAAATTAAGTTATTCACTTAGCTGTTTTATAGAGAAAACAGTACAAACAAGAAATTACCTGATGTGTCGAATAATTAATTTTAGGTGCTTCGTATATTTCATGGAGTCCCGACTCGATTCATTTAATTGCATGTGGACCAGAAGAAAGTCCTGAAGTTTGGTTGTGGAATATAGACACCGAAAAGTTTTTAAAAGTTTCACAATCACCTGAAGACGCTTTGGCATGCTGTGCATGGCACAAGGACGGAACAAAATTTGTGGTATCAATATGCAAACATAAAAATAAGAATAAATGTTGTTAATTACTCTTTGAAGGTGGGTGGCATTAGAGGTCATTTTTATCAGTGTGATATGGAAGGAAATGTAATGGACTCTTGGGAAGGTGTTCGTGTAAATGGTTTATGGTGTAGGAAAGATGGTAAAACTGTCATAGCTTCTGATACACATCATCGTATTCGTGGTTATGTTTTTGAAGAGCTGTCAGACCATCAAATGTTTGTATGAGTATATATTTGTAAATTGTGTTTACAGTTTATCTTCAAATAGATTACAAGAAGATCATGCCATTATGTCATTCACTGTTGATACGAATGACAAACTTGCACTTTTAAACGTTGCCACACAAGGTGTTCATTTATGGGATTTGAATGACAAATGTTTACTTAGAAGATATCAGGGAGTCACTCAGGGTCATTTTACAATACACTCAACTTTTGGTGGAGCAAATCAAGACTTTATTGCTAGTGGAAGTGAAGATAATCAGGTAGGATATTGATATCAGTTTGTAATATTTATGATAATCACGAAACGTGTTCACATTAGTAAAACCTGTAACCACGTTTTCATAACCAAATTTTGTTGTTACCAATAATTATAATACGTATTTATACCAGTGTTGAATTAAAAAATATAGGGGTATGTATTTTAATAGTAGTGTGGAAATAACATGAAAACGTGAGTTTCATATCCTTACTAGGCTACGTGATTGCTACTGTTCTGATTACATTGAGTTGGCTGTTTATAAAATATACACCCTGATTTTGAAATGTGTGCAAAATGAGGAATAGTTCACAATAAAATTACTGCACTGTGTGAAGTTGACGTTCCTAAGTGGTAGCATTGTCTAGAAAAAAATTATTTGAAATTAAATATAAATTGTTACACACGCCGTTGGCAGTTTCTCGATCTACTTCTTTCAATGAATGGCACAGAACGACTAGGATTAACAACCAAAAAGGTGACGCATCGATAACCAACGTGCAAAAACACGATAAGGGCCAGTCATGTGTCAGTTGGTTTGCGTCGTGTGTTGGGTTCACTGGGTTTATGGTAAATTTTTCCGATTCAGAGGGTACCGACATGGTAATGCTTTATGTGTGGCTGATAGAAACGCCAGGTTGGCCCGCGAATTGTGGATCGAGCGCTTTCCAAATCACGCTATTCCGTGGGCGCGAACCTTTGTATCAGTGGTACAACATCTCCGAGATCATGGTAGCTGCAAGCCTCAAACTCACGATCGTGGCCGTGATAGGACCGAAAGAATACTGCAAGCTGAAGAACAAATTTTGGAACGCGTCGAAGAAGAGCCCGACCTCAGCAGTCGCCGACTTGCATCTGAAGTTGCAGTTTCACAGTTTGTAGTGAAGTACGATTTCAATGACGGTTTTCCATAAGTGTGTGGGCCGGTATAGTTTAGATGAAACAATTAGTTTATGGAAATCAAGAGCGTCTAGAAACTATCGAAGAGCTTCAACAACGAGTGGAAGTAGCAACCGCTTGAATTCCCGGTGTTATTTTTTACCTATCAGCACACATGTTGCGACGTTATGAAGCCTGTATTGCTAGCCAAGGATATTTTCACCATTTGTCGTAAAAAGGTAGTAGCATTCTAAGTTGCTCTTATTTTTGTTGTAATAAACAATGTGGATTTGTTGTGGCAATGACCAAACATCGGTCAGAATAAAAAGCCGAACACCATGAAGCATTACCAAAAATCGGTCCTTATCAGGACCACCATTTGTTTCTACAACGAATAATCTTTCCATTGACGTTTAACGATGAATTAATGCATGGATGAACGAATGATAACCAGCAAAAAGTCGGTTTTACTTTTAATTGAAACTGAAATTGTTTACATCGTTTTTCCGCCTACTGTTTACAAGGTGGATCAATGTCATCTCATCAAGGGTGGTTCATGGGGATTTTGTCCCATTCGACTTTTAATGAGTTTTTTTTTTCTACATGTCCACACTACTACGGTACGTGATACCGTGGTTACAATTATTGCATATATTTCGAAATCACCCTGTATAGAATAAAACCGTTTAAATTGCAGTATTGTCAATTCATTAAAATTACACTTAGTGGTTTTACACGCCCTTTATAACCATTATAAACTATGCCTCATTAGAAATTCAAAGTAAAATGTAAAGAGAGCAAAAGTCACGATGCGTTAACGCTTTCAGATGCCCGTCCTTTCCTGATTTTGTAGTGGCATCACTGTCTATATATGTCAAAACTAAGCACTCTCCAGGCAGGTCCCGTATATATTCTAGCGTCGTACAACATGTTCATATTTGCCATACCTTTGTTTCGTTTTTCCGAAACTGCTGGATTCATTGTTGTGAAATTTTAGATGTATTTTGTAGGAGTATCGTGTAAATAATAAAACGCTAAACCAAAATTTATTTAATTATGCCCACCATCAATGTGATGACGTAATCTCTCGATATTAACTTACATTTTTTCCCTGCAGGTTTACATTTGGCATATAAGAAACGAACAACCAATTGCAGTTTTGACAGGTCATACAAGAACAGTAAACTGTGTAGCATGGAATCCTGTTTACCCACAAATATTGGTTTCAGTGTCTGACGATTGTACAGTCAGAGTGTGGGGGCCAAAGGATAAGGTGCCTAAACCATTAGGTAAGATGAGTTCTACTACATATAGATAATTAAATTAGCATCCGGAAAATTATTTCAATAATAAACAAAGTTTTTAAGTGTTTTCTATAGCAATTGGTCATAGTTGAAATTAAGTATACAAATTGTATTTTTTGTTAATTCTATAATATATATAATATAACTCAGAAAACACCGAACACATCAAACGACCGAAAACAACAAACAAGTGAAGCGAAGTGGTAATCATCTGACGCGTCGACACTGACACACGACGTACCCCTAGATTTGAACATGGACTCAACCCAGTCCCGCGCGACGAAAATTCGTTTGATCGCGCAGCTTTACGAGGGGTTCTTTTAAGAGTGATTCCACTCACACTAGTTGAAATAGTACAAAGAGGTACTGATAACTTTGTAGGCTAAAATATACAGTTTTTATTTGTCTGTCTTTCGCCTGTTTGTGTCAATTTTTTATAGACAGATAATCACCGAAACTACCGGACCAATTGTTAAATTTTATGTCGTCACCTGAGAACTTGTTTGATTTACAGACCAGAGCACACTCAGGAAAATGTCGACTCTAAGCGTTCAGAGCGATTTGATCTATAAGCCATGTTCCCTGAACATTCTCCGACTTTCGTTAGAGTTGATCTGATATACATCCACTGCAAGAAACTAATCGGTTTCGACCATAATTTCTGCGGGAAAGAATTGCTTGGTCGGAATTTACAAAGAATAAGTGAATATTGTTATGTGTCGGTGTCGAGTGTCTGGTCGAGTAGACGTCTCGTATTTGCTTTTCCAATAGTTGTCTATCTAATCAGTTTGTAAGTTTTTAACAATAGTTGATAACGTTATTGAAGTCCCATATTTGCAAAATGAATTGCAAATACGATTTGTCGTGCGATATTTGTGGGTAAATTTCTCATCTGAATTGTGCTAGTGTATCTATCTCCACAAGAAGCTGAATGTCTAGAATTAATATGGTACATAAACTTCGATAAAAAATGTAACATCGTGGACATAGTCTCAATTCTTCAAGAACTGAATCAATTGAAAGACGACATGAATAAGATGAAAAACCAAACTAATAAAGAACCAGCTGATAACAAGTAGTCAAGCAAATGCTCATAAGCTATGATGAAGAAGTTATCACTGACGTATTGGACCTCTAGGAACGTGCGAATAATCTAATAATAATAATTTATAATCTTGCTGACCAGAAAGAAAATGATCTTACTAACTTTGTTAAAATGTAGGAATTAATGAGAACTCAATACTTACGTGTGCACGTTTAAAGAAAAAAAAAAAACAATTGTACAGTTAATTCTTTATTAGTAAGACTTAGCTCCTCAAATGATGTTCTTAGGGTTTTCAGATCACATCAAACTCGAGATAATATTTATGTAAACAAAGATCTTACAGCCCGGTAAAGGAATGTGGTACATATAAGAAAGTAATTTAGGAATAGAAAGGAAGGAGGAGAGGTGGATATCAAACTAAAAGATATAAACGGTATGCCAAAAATTATTAAAACTACGCTAAGTAATAATAACGACAAAAACTAAGTGTACCAAAGGTCAGGAGATTTATATGAATTTAAAACAACTTATCAAAGTGTCAGTGTCCCCGGCTAGGGGATAGTGTTAAGTCTAGTAAATATTTTGCCGATCGTCACTAAGTTTTTAAGTCTTCGAATGGAAGAAAAGGATAGGGTGTACTAGCTGCAGTACATCACAGATTTTCTACAGATATGCTAAATAGTGAACTGCCACATCGTAAAATAGATCTGTTTAATAGTGACGAGGGGTTCAAATCATTGTCATTAATCTATACTTCCGAAAACATTGCCAGCACTATTTCACATAATACTTATCCTCTTGTGAAAGTAGATAGTCATCATTCATCTTTGCATTCTGCAGCCATATTCGCACCAGACATTCAGAATTTTGTGTATTATTTTCTTAAAGCTGATTTTTTAGGTTTGTATCAAGCGAACAGTAATTGGAATTGGGATGATATTCTTTGCATTGAAGATATAAATTTAATATTCTAGCATTCGTCTTAATAATACCACCTACAGCTCTTCCATAAATATGTTGCGAAATATAGAAAAATTACTAATGTTTTACTCTTAATATCATTAAATTACTTAAGGTTAAAAATCGTCAATGGACAAGGTTTAAAAAATCTGCTCTTTTGTCTCAGAAAGAAAAAACTAGAAACTAGAGTGTGAAATTAAGATTCTAATTAAGCAGGTGTTCCCAAAGTTTATTACTTCCTCGGGAAATGAAGATCAGATCCTTCTAAATTTTGCTCATATATCAGTGCAAAAAAGAATACTCAAGAATACCAGGAAAAATGAAATTTGAAAGGTGCGAACAGTGCGATCCTCAATCTGTTTGTTGTTGAGGGGTTTGCAAAACATTTTTCTAGTGTTTACAAAAGTGAGCAACCTCTTGTTTCATCGGATTGTGATAATAGTGGCACCTCTTCTTCCAACTGTGAGATTTTGTTGGCTGTGATTTTAATATACCAGTTTTACATAATTTTAAAATAAGAAAACACAAAAGTAGAGAGTCGGCCGACGGACTCGATTACAATACTTCTGTCGCTTACGTCCGGGAATTAAAAACTCAACTCGAAAATGCTGGATATGTTTCATTATACTTTCCGTGCAATTTTTACTTCCTCAGCGTAAGCGAAGGAAGTATTGTAATCGAGTCCGTGGACTCACTCTCCACTTTTACGGTTTCTCGACCTTTCATGACACCTACAGCAGGAAGAAATAGGTCTCCCGTTTCCGTCTGTCTGCCATCCCGGATTTTTATTAGACAGATAATCTCCGAAAGTACTAGGCCGATTGGTGTCAAATTTTGTATTTATATTATGTAGTTTATGACTCCGAATTGATTTTTTATCAAGATGTATTTGCTCGTCCCCCTTAAAAAATTGATGAGGTCACCCCAAAATTATGCTGAATAAATCTTACCTAAAATGTACAAAATATGATGAGTTGGTACTTGTGATTTATGATTCCATTCATATTTTTTGGATTTGCATATACAAGGTGACTCAAAAAAATTAATGAATGCGTGAATGTATTTTATTGATTTAACTACAAAATCGAATGCTTTGAAATCTTGGAGATGTTTTAAAGTTGTCATAAGTATGGTAAATTTTTGATCAAAATGTATTTGCTCATCCCTCCTAAAAATTGATGACGGCACCCCAAAGTTTTGCTGAAAAAAATCCTATCTTAAATGTGCAAAGTGTGATGAGTCTATACTTGTGATTTATCACTGCATTAATATTTTTTATTCAATTTTGACATGTAAACAAACGTTTATTTTGCCGTCAGTAGGCCACACCATAAAATTTTTAAACCGCTAGCGAAATAAAATTTTTATTTTGCTGTTTTAAAACCATGGTTACCATTTCTGTAATTTCTCCAGTGTCTTGCTGCTCTTTCCATCTGAGGAACTTTTGATACACTTTCTGATCTGGTCTTTTCTGGGAGCAAGTTTTGTCGTTAGAATCTTGCATGATTTTGCAATTTTTCGATAATTTTAGTTTGTTTAAAATAAACAAACACCGTCGCCAGAGTCACATACTACACACACACACCTGATATTGTACACTAAATTCTACGCATATAAAACTTTTATTTGGTCGCTGTCAATTCTGACGTTTCTCGAGTCTGAACTTTGAATCACCAATTTTTTCACAATGTGGGACTTGGGGTTGTCAAAATTGAATAAAATTTTGTATTACACTTGCGGTTAAAATGAATGTGTAACTCGCGGTCTTAAGGCGCTCGCGGCATACGCCGCTCTCGCCTTAAACTGACCGCTCATTAAACATTCACTTTAACCGCTTGTATAATAAATAACTATTAGATTTGCTTATACGGGGTGACTCCAAACAATTAATGAATCAGACAATTTATTATTAATAATCAAATTAAGAACGAGTCACCCCATTTTCTTAAAAATGTGAGAATACGCTCGTCTTTATAACAATAAAATAATGATGAGGTAAGATCTTCGGACAAAAAAATTAACTCTTAAAAAGTCTAAAATTGATTAAGAAAGCTGATTCCTCCGCCCTTGTGTTGAAGATTAATAAAATAAACTCTCTTGATTGAAATGCTTCTAGCTTCGGTTAACTCATTCATCTGTCAACCAAAACCATACTGTGAACTTTGGTATGACGGCAGTTTTTAGTCCTCCAGAACGTGGCGTGTATTCAGCGGATATTCTCCTGCGCTTGTACTCATTACCGAATGGCGAACGGCTTCATAAGAAGAATATAAATCGCCCAATGTAGGAAATATCTTTTCATGGATTTCTGTGACAGTTTTCCCTTCCAAGAAGAACCGAATCATTACAAATTGCATTTTTTTTTCCTTTTTTTAAATAAAAATCTCGAATTACTGACAGAATTACTTGACATTATAAAAATGTCATCTATGGGAAACTTACTTGAAGTCTACATATGCAGTTAATAAAAAAATACTGCTTTTTCTTTTTTCATCCAATGCGAACTCAATTATTCATCAAACCACTCTCGTAAGAACTTTCCCGACTGAAGAAGCGGCTTTCAAATAAAAGAAAAAGCATCCAAATTAGTCCATTCGTTTTGGAGCTACGGTGCAACAGAGTACACAGAGAAATCAGCTGATGGTCTTGACATGATTATCGTCAAACATAACTAAGAACCATCACGATCAAACCATCTTTCGAACAAAAAAAGCCACATTAAAATCGGCTCATCCGTTTGGCAGCTACTGTGCCACTATAACAGACAGACTGACAAAGAGGTCAAAATTATAACACCCCTTTGTTCAGTCGGGGGTTAAAAAAGAGTATCACAGGAATATCGTTTAATATGATGTTCCTGAATGAACCGATCTCATGTGGTGAGGCTATAGTGAATTCGTTTGCTAAACATTTCAAATCCTCTTTTCAGTCTGAATCTGGAGGCCATGTCGATGTCATCTCAGATTCTATAAATAACTTTAATATAGGCAGTGTTCAAACGACGTCTCCTCTAAATTAAAAAATTTGAAACCACAATTTACATCCGGTCCTGATTTAATCCCTGCGTTTTTGATTAAAAATGATGCTGCTGTATTTTATAACCATTAACCTTCGTATGTAAGTTAGCCGTTGACAGTCAGATATTTACTGAGTGTTGGAAAATTTCGAAAATAATACCGTTATTTAAGAAGGACCACATCACTATGGAAAATTACCACCCAACAGCAATTTTAAATAACTTTGCGCAGGTTTTTGGAAAGATCCTGTTCGATATCATGATTTATTACTAGGGCTAGGCGGTTGAAATTTAAGCGCTCCGTATTGACTCCTACCACGACAGACTAGTTGCTCGCAGTCTATGTTGTTACGTGTCGCGAAGAAAATTATGAGAAAGCTAATGTTAACTGAACGTCAATTGATGATTTTAAAATCCATATCCACAAAATAATAATAATAATAATTTTCAAGTGTGGATCTCGTTGAAAATAAAACTATTTGTGTAAATTATCAAAAATAATACACAATTGAAACACAAGAAACTGAGACGCAATATTACCATGAGTTTAGAAGCACTGATATATTGTAAATATGTAGTTTTGTATAAATAAGTTAGGTTGTTTTGAATAAATCAGTATTAAGCTTTATTGGCTTTTTACTTACTGCCCACAATTCTACTCCAGAATTGTTCAGGAATGAACACATGATTTTTAGAAATTTGTGTAAAGCTATTTATAACATATTTTTAAATTTAATTTGTTTTGTATCTTTTTTTTTTTAATTTTGTATTCTGTTGTTGGGGTAAAATCCTTTGAATACAATAAATTATTTATTTATTATTTAATTCTCACGAATAAATGTTAATAAATTTTATAAAACAATATGTGCATGTGTATATGTGACTTATGAATCTGTGTTGCGTTTTTACCCTTGGTACAGAGATTTTTGTAACAATATTTTACAATTTAACTTTGAAATTGCAAAAATCTTGCCGAAGTGTTTTACGGAAAAAACTAAGTGTGGTTAATGAATTAATCAGTCCTCTCTTCAGCGATGAGGAAACAAAATCAATTAAATTTCTTTTTCTTTGAATCGCTAATGCTTGTAAGCTGAACGTGCTAATAGTCGAAATCTCTCGAAGTATAAACGTAAATCATTTAAGATAAGCATGTAGTGAGAAATTCTGTATATTTACTTTTTTCTAGAGATGTACCGACTGTAGATCTGGCCGACTAATCGACTAGCCGATTGTTCGGCCAGTAAAAACCGACTAGTCGGCCGACTGTTCGGCTTTGCTAAAACCGGTTTATATGTAAATGCGACAGACAGTGTTTTTTTTTTTCTATTTCTCTGACTACCTTAAAAATTTGTTTTATTTTAATAAAAGGAATAACTAAAGTTCCTTTGTTTTCCAAAAAATGTATTAAATTTGTGTGGATAATTTTAACATTTAATTTTTTTGTAATAACTGAGTACAAAAATAAAGAATAACACAATTTAGGGCCAGTTTATACAATATTTTAACTGAGATTAAGTTGATCGCGCATTTAACAAGGCCATTAGCGACATCTGATTGGCGTAGAGTCGGGCATATAGTACTTTAACACGGTGTTAAAAATTAAATCGCAATTAAATATTTAATTGAGGTTCTGTAAACCGGGTTTAATTGTTTTATATACTATTTAAATTTTAATAAAAAAAGCCGACCGATCGGCTGTTTTGCTGACTAGTCGCCGATTGCCAGACGGCGATGAAGAACGGCCGAATAGTCGGCTTATCCGACCGGTCGGCCACTAGTCGGTACATCCCTACTTTTTTCCCGTAGGTTAGCTGCTTTAAATATTCATTGTACGGGTATTTAAAAATATACGACTAACAACACCGATTATAATTCCGACTCAACTTAGACTCTAATTCTCTCATTGACTGGGCTAGACTAGACTGACTGCTGCCGAAAATGGTCTCTATTTAACCCCTACGTTCCTTATAGATATTTCGCTATCAAGGTTGTTCTGGAATGCTCATCGCAACTTCCGCCTCCAAGCTTTTCTTTATTCGACCCGTCGGTGATGATGAGTCACCGGATCGCACATAGAAAACCCATATGCGTCGTCCCGGGGCGCACACATTGTCCACATTTGTGCGGACCACATCCACTTTGAATTTGCGCCCCCGTGATGCAGGGGTGTTAACTGCACCACTGATTTTTACTTTATGGAACGAAAATCTCAAAATCAAATTTCATAATTTTTTTAAAGAAGCGGGATTTGTCGAAATATACTTCAACGGCAAAGAAAGTTCTGTCTTTATTTTAACTTACAGAGGTTGTCATAAAAAAAAATTGCTCGAAAGTTGTTTCGAGAGAACTTACCTCGCATGTAAAACAATGAAACATTCAGCATTTTGAATTTTTTCTTTACACAATTTTGTGATGACGTCATCATTTTTGCAAGGACACGTATATCAACTTGGATTGGTGCAGTGTAATACTAAAAATAACAATACATATTGTATTCCCAAAATTTTCTGGGAAAATGAGTGAGCCTTCCTAATTTAATCAATAAAATAAATTGACTCATAAATTTTTTGAGCCACATGTTTAATCAAATCAAGAAAATATGAATCCAATGATAAATCACAAGTAAAAACTCATCATGTTTTGCACATTTTTGGTAGAATTTATTCGGCAAAATTTTGAGATTATCTCATAAATTTTTTTGGGGGAATAAACAGATACATTTTGATTAACAATTTACCATGCTTACAATAACTTTAAAATGTCTGCAAGATTTCAGAATATTCAGTTTTGCAATTCTTGCAATAAAATAAATTAAATGATTCTTTTTTTTTTTGAGTCACCTGTATAAGCAAATCTAAAAATATTAATACATTTATAAATTACAAGTATAGACTAATCAATCATATTTTGCACACTTTCGCTAGGATTTATTCGTCAACGTTTTGAGGTGACGTCATCATTTCTTTATAATGAGCAAATACATTTCGATCCGAAATTTACCATGCTTATGATAACAGGTGCGTTAGTTGGCTTCGGGCTTGCCCACTACACCTTGGGTCGTGGGTTCGATTCCCACCTTGCCTCTGGGTGTTGTGTATGTCATGTTTCCTGTAATTGGGCCTCCGGCCTGTTGGAGACATTATAGAATAAATAAAAATAAAACATTCTTGATTAAATCAATAAAATAAATTCAGGCATTCAAAAATTTTGTTTTTGAGTCACCATGTATAAGCAAATCGAAAAATATGAATTGAATGATAAATCACAAGGATAGACTCGACATATTTTGGACATTTTAGATAGGATTTATTCGGCAAAATTTCGAGCCAACGTCATCAATTTCTTAGAGACGATAAGCAAATATATTTTGATTAAAAATGTATTATGCTGATCATAACTTTAAAACATCTGCAAGATTTCAGAGCATTCGATTTTGCAGATTCACAATTAAACTGCAAAATGTTGTTTTTTAATTCTGATTTTTTTTCCAAAAATCTGGACGTATGATTATTTATTTAAATGCAAATTTTTTACAGTGTCTTCAACAAGTAGTGATTCAAGTAGTAACAACACATGGAATGATATGATTTCATAGTATAATCCACTATCGAAGAAAACATTTCATTTTACGTGAAATATAACAAGTGCAGACAACAATCTTGTGTATTTGGGAATGCGTGCTACTGAGTGTAATTCATGGTAAAGAGAAGCTTTTATATTTAGGTTTATTAATAGAGTTACTATTACGTACTAATTAATAAACAGTTGTTCAATTAGAATGTAAGGAAATAAAAAAAGTATGTATGCGAGTTTCGTTTTATTGATGCTGAATGTTTTTTTTATAAAGTCGCGATCTTTTCTATAGAACCACTCCCTAGTGTAAATTTTCAAAATTTGTTTGGTGTAAGTGACCTTGACGGGTTTCTGGGGGAAAACATATGTGTCAAAAATTTGACAGGTTAGATGACCCCATTGTTAATGTAGATATTTTATTTTAATAAATAGATGAACAGAACATACAGTCTGCACGGGATACAGTGCGGCATAGCTGAGGGCAACCGAAACATTCGTGTTGTGCTAGTTTCGATTGCCATATCAGCTACCGCTACCAACCGCGTTCGGCGTAAAGTACTAGATGACAGGGCTACCAACTTGACTTTTTATCGAGTGGTTCCGTAGAAATGACCGCTACTGTAGGCGTTTAAAGATTTTATGTTCCAACTCAATCATAATCACCTCAATTATAATACTATCCACAGGTCATAATCTGCCTTATTATTGTACAAGTACAATAAAAATTGTGTTTTGAACTCCAGTGGTGCCAACTGTCCTTAATCTGTCACTTTATTGGACTGTAAAGTAATTGGGATGCAACACAATTCATATGACTATGACTATTAAACAATTTTAAAATAGGAGGTGAAAAACTTACCCCATTATTATCCTCGCGAGCAAGCTCGCTCGGCTATAAAAGGGCACGTCCAATAAAGCAATGCATTATTTACTTGTAACGTAGATAGCTATTATGTTCAACTTAATCATGATCACCTCAATTATGAATTATGATACTATCTGCAGTCCATAACCTATCTCTTTATTGGACAGTCAAATAAAATTTGTGTTTTAGATTACAGTGGTTCCAACCAATATGTAGAAACTTAGTGATGTTTTAAAAATATACCGCGTGATTAGAAACGACCCAGTCCTTTGGCAGTATGTACTCTTTAAACAAAAATGTGAACTTTTCTTGCGCTCATATTGGTATAACGGAAATAATTGTGTGACAGATACGTCAATGCGATAAATTTACGTTACGTTTTGAACACATTTTGCCAAAGAAGTTTCAGTATCACAGAGGAAATACAAGTACCGTGCTCGTTGGTTTGTATCACACATATACAAACCCTCTGTTCGTGAATGAACGGATAAACGCTTGAGCGAGTCAGTGGCGTAACTGATAGGGGTAACTAAATTTTACTGCTACATATTAGTTTTAATATCGGTCAGTTAATTTGTCAATGTTCTAGATCATTCTAGATTCTAGTGGATGTTTACAATGACCAGATACGCGAACGTGTGGAAAGTGTACTAACCACACGTTTTGTTTTTCTTGAAATTGTAGTAAACTGAAACTCGTCAGCCACTGTACTGCAGAGGAATAAGCCTCTCGCGCCTCACTCCTCTCACACTCTCACACGAGATATGTGGGTCACACCACACACTTTGATAGTATAGATATAGAAGGTATACGGCATACTCTATCTCAGAGACTTTAACTACATTAAAGTTCTATCTATACTTACTCAACATCTTTGCATTTTGCAAATTATAAGTGTCAACAATCTGTCAGTCTTGACAGCTAACAACGGAAAATCCAGGATTGCCAGCAGACTCAGTTATTTCTGATCACGCGGTGTTATCTCTTTTTTTTTCATATATGCCCACTAAATTTTTGTTTAACATTGAAAAAGGTTGCCTTCGTGTCATTTTGACATTTATGTTCAGGTTTCGGGTTTTAATAACCCTTATAAACAAGCGTCCCCAATTTTCACTTTGCACCATGTACATAACTTCAGAACTAGCAACGTCAGAAAGAAAATACAGAGCCACAACCCTGGCCACAATCATACATCCAACACTGGTCCTTCCAGTCGGATATTTCCGCATATGTGATCAAATGCTGTGCATCATTAATTTAGTAATAAAACGTGGTGGTGCCAATTTTCGACGCGTGTATCAGGAGACGTGATCAACCGGTCATCGGAGTTCCCTACCGAACAGGAGAACAGCGAATCCGGGCCACTCAATCCATTCATCCAAGGTCCCAAGTTATCTTATTACGGTTTTGGCAATTTTTCGACGCCTGTGTCGTGAGACGGGATCTACCAGCCATCGAAGTTCCCGACCGAACAGAAGAGCAGCGAATACAGTCCATTCAGTCATCCCAGGTGCCAGGTGGCATTACTGCGGTGAGTGGGTTCCAACTCTTCCTTTTTTTTTATCTATTACTGTCAAGCATGCGGTCGACTTTAATTGCACGTCATTTTATCTAAATCTCATTGACAAGTACTATTTGTCTTGCCTGAACTGTACCAGTTCTACGTATTTGAAACTGATCGGTTTTTTAAATGGGCGTTCGCAACCTTCGAAACTTCACACATAGCAGGCGCGGAAGGCGAAGACAATGCCGATTGATGAAACATTCTCGGAATCAAATCCTACACCAGAGGACCCATATGCAGCAAATTTACAAATTTTATTCGAAAAAAGATCGAATTCACGACGAAATATCGTGTTTTAAGTTGTGGTTTGAAACAAGAGTACATCCGCTTCTCGACTGAGAGTAAGATTTCGCGATTTTCTACACATGCAAATGTAATTGTAAATGGCAGTCAATGTTCAAGTACAAAAACAGACAAAAGGTTCAGGTACAGATTGAGTGGTTGCATTCTCATTTACAACAGGCTTAAATCCCGAAAATTTCTAAAAACATACATTTTCTAAAGAGCTGGACATACCTGCAGCGATAGAACTTGCCGATCCTAATTTCAATTTGTCACGGACAGTCGGAGCAGGATTATTTTGGCAATTGTTATGTGTAGATCAAATTCTGAACATATCACAAAAGTCGTGAAAGAAGCCAACAAGATACTATATCTTCTCGGAAAGACATTTGCTAAAGCTGATATAAATACTGTAACTAAACTGTATAAAACTTATGTTAGACCGATATTAGAGTATGCTAACTGCGTTTGGGTTCCAACATTATAACGTGATATCAACTTACTAGAATCTGTCCAGCGTCGTGCCACAAGAATACCGCATGGACAAGTGCGCCCCTCTTACCCTGACAGAGTTAATCTTATGAAATTGCCATCGTTAGCCGGCAGGCGTGTAAGAGGTGACATGTTAAGAATTTCAGGATTTTACAAATATTAGTTCACCTATCAGACATCTTTTTCCTGTCAAGATTGGTGGACGGACCAGAGGTTACCGTTTCAAATTGGAGAAGGACAATTTTCGGACTTCTATTCGTCAGACGTTCGTCACTAACAGGGTGTTCACCGAATGGAATGCATTACCCCCTGAAGTTGTTGAAAGTGCTTCCGTTCCTAGATTTAAGGTCAACTGCGACACCTTTCGAAACCGTAGATAGTTATATATCCATAATTAGTAATAGGTATTATATTTGAAATAATTTGTGATTCCATCAACTGTCGTCTTACGCGGGCATAACAGACTTCGGTCTCTGCCCGAGCGCTTCATTTTAATAAAAATAATAATAAAAAAAATCAAACAATAGAACGTGGCATAATATTACAAAAAAATTTAATTAGGTTGGATTGTAGGGGGACCATTGCATGGATGTCCCACTAGTAACACCTGTCAAAATCTACATTGTTTGGTCAATAATATCAATTTAGAAAAACAGGTTGAAAAGTTCTGGAAACTGGAAACGATGATAAGGCACTCACATCTCTTGAAATACAACACGAGAACTATTTTATTAACAATGCCACCATTTTTACCAAACTTGGGGTATTCGAAAGAAATCGCTCTTAAACGGTTCAACTCATTGGAACGAAAGTTTGCAAAGAATATATTAAAAACAAATTGTCACGATTTTATAAAAGAATATGTACATTAATTTGGATCATATGCGTTTACTAGGTTCATTGACAGAGCCTAACATCGAAAGTGAACCCCACCACTTTTTGCCTCACCATGCGGTTTTCAAAAATGACGAGGTCACTGAAAAGATTCGCGTAGTGTTTGACGGGTCGGCCAAACCATCATTCGGAAAAAGCATAAATGCTTGTCTCAGTTCAGGACCAAAAGTACAAAACGACATTTTTGATTTAATAGTTCGATTTAATTTATTAATTTAATAAGGTTGCCTTTACAGCGGACATTTGTAAGATGTACCGTCAAATTTTAATTCATCCCGAAGACGACGATACCAAAAATTTTGTGGCGGGGGACGATCACACACAACCGATGCAAGTGTACAAACTTATTATGGGCACATACGGGACATCGTCGTCTCCGTATGCCGCGATTAAGTGTCTAAAATTATTGGCGGATCAAGTGGAAGCAACATTTCCAAAAGTTGCCGAAATAATCAAAGACAATTTTCACGTCAACGATGTGCTCTGCGGGAGTTCCACCATTGAAAAAACAATAGAACTTCGTGACTTGCAACTGCTTTCCCAAAGATGTTTTACTTTAGTCAAATGGGCTTCGAATAACCCTAATATTTTACCAAAAAAAAAAAACACCTGAAATGTCTTGTGTCATCTAAGGTTTGCGAGCCATTAGACTTACTTGGGCCAGTAACAGTTCTAGCCAAAAATGTGGAATTTAAAACCTAGTTGGGATGAAACTGTTCCATTATCAATTTATTCGGCGCCACATACGGGGGGTGTCTGAGAAGCGGCGGTCAAATCTTCGAAAGATCAATTGAAGCGCGTTATTGGTGCATCTTTATGTAATTTTTAAGAAATACAGACTTTACTAATCCAAGTAGAAGCATGCTTCAATTCGCGCCCTTTAACCGCCATGTCCAATGACTCAAATGACCCGACTCCTTTAATTCCCGGCCACTTCCTCGTCGGAACCTCTTTAACTGCTGTTCCAGAAAATAACCTCACCACGCTCCTAACGAACCGCCTCTCCAGGTGGCAACAAGTCAGCCGCACTCAGCAACAATTCTGGAAACGCTGGTCAGCAGGAATATTTGGGTCAACTTCAACATCGTGCAAAATAGACCAACATCAAGGTGGACGATTTGGTGGTGATTAAGGAAGACTTCCATCTTCCACGCACCCCCGCTTGCATGGAAGATGGGACGCATTACTACAGTTCATTCCGGTCAAGATGCCCTTATTCGTGTAGTGACAGTGAAAACCGCGCATGGTGTGATTAAGCGGCCAGTGATTAAAATATGTGTGCTTCCGACCGAACCATAAAGAAATGTGCAGTGTTTAAATCTATTCCTGTTTTTTGTATGTGTTCTGTATTCCTTTTGGTCGTCAAAGTGCTGTTTACACCTGTTATGTAAACACGTATTATGTATTCATATTTATTTGCAATTGTTATACTTATTTTATTATAATGTTGAAAGTTAGTTCTTTCAAGACGCCGGACCATGTTCGCGTTTCGGTTCTTACCCGACAACCCTTATAATTTTCACTTCTGAATCATCACTACCTGCGATAGTTTTCTCGAGTTTGTTCACTTTGTATATAGTTTCAGATCTAGCAACATCAGAATGAAAATACAGAGTCACACAGCACATGTGTGACTCTGTATTTTCTGTGTTTCATTTTTTATCTAACATATGTATTTCGGAACATATGTATGAGTAACAATCATACATCCAACAATTTAAAATATTCAAAATCTGAAATATTTGTCATTCAATTACCAAAAAGGCATAGGCATAATTACGTATTCATCAAAGAAATTGAACGGACAAGGACTTTATCAAAAAAGTCGCAAATGGAGCTTAGCTAGGTGATGTCAGTGATGTTATGTTACTTATAGCAAATTGAAAATGTTTCAGTGTGTACCCTCTCATAAAATTTTATTGTCGAATTATGAGGGATTTAAAAGAACAGGCTCTATGGGTTACCTGTTATCGATTTGAGTGGACCAGAAGAATGGCGAAAGTTTGTTTAACCACAAATTTTAAATATTCTGCCCCTGTTTACTAAATTATTTATTAAGATATTTTATTTCTGTAAAGCCCAATGAAGTTTTTAATACAACTTCTACCAATGTACACTTTTGAAAATTGAAAATTGATCCATAAATAGCGAAAACCAGATACTCATCACAATTTTAACGGGTTGTAGTTTTTTTGACAACAAAATTTCGAAGCCGGAAAAGCAGTCTGGGTAGGGTTTTTTTACACTCATTTCAACGGTGTGAAGTTTATTACAATCGGACGTATGTATACTTTGGCAAAAACTTGGGCAGAAGTTTATACAGTAGAACCTCTCTTATCCGTGCTAATGGCTGCTCGACCCCCCGCCGAATAAGAGAAAAACACGGATAATAGGATTGAATTAAAAAATTATAAATTTAACGTATTTATTCAAAAAAATACAAATACTTTAACTTTTATTTAAAATAGTCAGTTATTAATGCCTGTTTCTTTATCATTTGATTTTTTATTTTTCTTTGTAAATTGCGAACACTCATCAAGTCAGCAGCCAGTTGGTGTACCGGAATTCCTTGTCCAGATTTTTGAATTATTTCTGCTTTTTTCTCTAAAGTCAAAACAATTTTTTTCCGCACACCGGACATGGTTCGATCTGTGTCTTAAAACGACTGAATTCTTAAAAATAATTCCTTAACACAACATCCGCCCGAATAACTGAATCTGATTCTTGGAAAAATCGGACTATTGCACGGATTTGTGAAATCGCCCAAACAGCACGGGTAACTGAGAGACCGGGTAACTGAGACACGGATAAGAGGGGTTTTACTGTATATATTTCTCTATGCTGGAATATGCTTTAGCTCACTGATAAGTATTAATAAAACGAGCACGTGTTGATTTTTGTTTATTAAGCCACTCACAAATTCATGTCTTACCTATTCGACTGTCTGTCTCGAAGAGGACGAGTCCTTGCAAGAAACATCAGTACCTACGCTATGCGCAGTCGCATTCCAAAACATCTTATTATTGACCTACTTCGTACTTAACCTACTGTACACTTAATCTACGCCTTAATTAATACATTACACTCACCCTTAAAATGATGAAGAGCTTATGTATATGATAGTTAAAGTTTGTCCAGAATTATAAGAATTTTATGGACTCCCAACGTTAATTCGTTTTACAGCCATGTCGTCAATGCTATTGTACAGGTAAAGAGCCTGTCAGGAGAAAGCCGATGTTTACTGTACCTGAGTTCGCCCCGCCCTTCAGCTGTACAATAAAATTGACAACAGGGCTGTAAAACGAATTAACTTTGGAAGTCCATAAAATTCTTATAATTCTAGACAAACTTTACCTAGTTTCTTGACAAATTCTGTGCTAAACTCGTTTTAGATTTTAACTCCCTACTTGGTTAATCTTCTCTTTGTGGGAACGAACCAGGTATAATAATCCCAGCAGGACAGGTAAACGATTCGTAGAGAAAAACAAAACAATATTTTTGAGTATTTGGGTTAAAAGTAATTGCAAAAAGTAATTGTAAAAGGGACTGAATTATTCAAAAGAAGTAATTCGTTGCGATTACTCATTACATTTATTGAAAAGTAATGCATTACAATTACCCATTACTTGAAAAGGAATTGAATTACTTCCAACCAGTGATTTTGTACTTGGTTATAAATATTTAAGCAAAAGTTTGCCAGATTACAAGAGCTGGGCAAATACAAAGTAATAAGGAAGATCTACAAGTAAATTGGAGATTGGTAAACAAAATGTAAATTGTACCGGGTGTCTGGAAAATGGCGAATTAACTCTTCAGTACATGTACATAAGTTTCGGGAGTCCCAAAAAAATAATAAAAAAAATACATGATGTAGATTACGAAAAAAACGTAATTTTATAGAATCAAATTTCCGCACGCCGAACTTTTAGTAAGAAAATAGGTAGAAATGGAAAGAAACGAAAACCACTAAGATGGGGATGCGCAGAAGGGTTGTGTTTGAGAAGAGTGAGTCGCGGCCATGTGAACTTCGCGTGTGTGGCATTACACACGCATCCCGACTTTCCAAAATGGCGACGCTCCCGGATGACGCCGTGGCCGTTAATCTTCGTACTAATCATTCAACATAATTTCAATCTGTTGTAGTAGGGCTTTTCAGGGAATTATCTTAGCTAGGGCAGTTTTATTTAGCTAATGTTATGTGGAAAGTTTTTGGATGACAATTTTCGAGTTACTATTTTGCGTTGCATAATTTCACCACGTGGGAGTAAAGTAAATTCAAACGTAGTCTGAACAACCGAATTTTTAACAAAATAACACCGGGAACGACATTAGGAAAATGAATAATATCGTGTTGGCGTGAAATGCGACCATTGGCCGGGTCTCGAGGGGAGCCACCGGGCGCAGCCTATGTCATACCGTGGTGCGTCGCTGGGACCCGATGGTACCCGAGAACGGCTGAACAACACCACGCGGTGGGAAGTCCAGCATCAGCTAGCGAGAAAACTCGAACTAGAGCAGTCACATGTTTCTTTAAATAACGCTAAATAAATTTGTACATCTGAATTCGGTGATTAATTTCCACATCAGAAGTGGGATTGGATACTGGGTGCCTTGTTGGCCGTATGGTGGAAAGTGTAGTGAAATTCTATGTTGTCTGAGTGCGAAAAACAATGCCTCGAGCACAACAACGCAAATCCCGTAGACGCGAGAGAAGTCCTAGCCGAGATGAACGTCGTCATCGACGTTCTAGGAGCGATGGTACTGGTATAACAGTCGCAAGGGTTGCTGGTCCAAGCGGCGGCGACACCAGCACTAGGCGTGATCGCTCCTGTGACGCATCTCGTGGCAGCGACGCCAGGGGAAGTACCGGAGGCACCAGTAGCCAAGGGATGGCCGACATAGATGCGGCAATCGTGAAGGGCATCCATCAGTTGGTGCAACAATGTAGGCTTCCTTCTCCGCGGTCGAGCGTAAGTACGACGGCAGCAGATAAGATTATCCCCGAATTTGATCCGCGTGAACAGAGTATTGCGGAGTGGATCGCTGCCGTCGACGAATACGCTTATATTCATCATTGGGACGACAAGAGAGTAAGTCATTTTGCGCTTGGAAAACTGCGAGGACCAGCAGAAATATGGTATCGCAGTCTTCCAACCCGTTTGTTTTCATGGCCCGAATGGCGGGAAATGTTAATCAGTAATTTCAAACGCAAACGCAAGCTGCATGAAGCTCTGACAACAATGTTAGCGCGCGTCCCATTAGTCAGTGAAACTTTATACGAGTATGTTTTTCACAAATTAGCCCTTATTCAGAAATTAAAAATTTCCCTTACTGGGGAAGATGTTATTGATCGGATAATGGGGGGAATTGATGATGATCAGATAAAGTTTTCTGTTGAGACTGCAGGGATAACGGAACCAGCTGTTTTGGCTAATCATTTACGAACATTTGATGCTAAGCACAAGCGGGACAGGTCGACGCTAAAAATAGACCCTACAAAAAAACCAAAGTTAGACGTAAAATCACAGCCACAGCCGTCGTCATCTAAATATGCTGCATCCACAAGTGCTGCGGCAATAACACAACATTCCGAAACCAGATCTGTTTGTTATTATTGCAGGAAATCGGGTCATTTTGCTCGCAATTGTCCCGAAAAACGAACCACTAGGTTGTCACGACCTAATCGAAGTAACGCGGAAAAATCACACAAGCCCTTGTTAGCACTAGAATACAAACATGTAAATTTTGCGACTCACGGTGGTACTTCTGCTAAATATTTTAAGGACATCTTAATTAACAAAAGTGTCAATCCCTGCTTTATCGATTTCGGAAGTCAATGTTCATTAATTTCGGAAGCTACTGCGAAAACTTTGAATTTGACTCTACAAAAACCCGACATGCCAATTGTTTTGTCCACCTTGGGTAACCACCTATGGTGACCACCCAGTCGTACCAGAATTTGTCGTTCGTGCTGGCGTGGTAATTGATGGGATTAACAAAGTTTGTTCTTTGTTGTTAAGAAATGCGTCATGAATGTGGGTATCCTTATCGGGCAGAATTTTACGGACCTGCCTGATTTTCAATATTTCAAGGCTGGTGACGTCTTGCAATTCTCGCAATCTCAAGTGCAAGAAACCGTCAACAGCGCTATCTCAAGTGGCGTTAATGTAGGTGTGACTGATCCGGTGGCTATTAATGCACTTCTTCAATTGTTAAATGAGTATCCAATGTACATAGCTAATCAGATGTCGGAAGTGGGTAAAACGGATACTGTAAAAATGAAAATACAATTAACATCTACACAACCAATTTCTTGTCAACCCCGGCGGTACGCTGAGGAAAAAAAAACTGGTGACAAAAGGTTATGTGTGGACCATAGGGTTCTGAATAAGATTACTGTTAAAGACCGGTACCCACTTCCCCACATTGAAGATCTATTGAGTCGATTAGCGAGACACAGGGTTTTTACAAATTTAGATCTCTTAGCTGGGTACCATCAAGTACCAATGTCGGACGAATCCATTCAGTATACGTCCTTCGTTACCCAGGACGGACAGTACGAGTACTTACGGATGCCGTTTGGATTGTGCAATGCTCCGGCTGTTTTTCAGCGAATGATAAATGGTGTTTTGGGCGAACTTCGTTTTTCAAAGGTTTTATGTTATCTTGATGACATCCTAATCCCTGCACCATCGCTTGAGCAGTCGTTAGCCGTGCTCCGAGAAGTTCTCGACATTTTCAAAAAAACGGGATTGACACTTAAACTAAGCAAATGTTTCTTCTTACGCCTGGCGATCCAATATCTGGGGTACATAATTAGCGAATCATGCATCAACCCTCATCGCAAAAAATTGAGGCTGCAGAGAACTTTCCCGTGCCGAAAGACGTGCATAATGTTAGGCAGTCCTCGGACTGACCGGTTATTTCCGGAAATTTATTTTCCACTATGCTATAATCGCCAAACCCTTACCAATATTACTACGTAAAAACGCTGCTTTTACTTGGGGCATAGAACAAGTTGAGGCCTTTAATGCATTAAAACAACACCTTATTTCGCAACCAGTGCTTGCTCTGTTTGACCATCAATTAGAGACGCGTCTTTACACCGACGCTAGCCAGATTGGACTAGCGGGCATTTTGGTTCAAATTAATAATAACAAAGAATGCGTGGTCTCTTATTTTAGTCGACACACCACCCCTTTAGAGCAGAAATACCACTCGTTTGAGCTCGAAACATTAGCGATATGTAGTAGCATCTGTTAAGCGATTCAGGCAATTTCTTCTAGGGATACCCTTTGTCATTTTCACGGATTGCGCAGCTGTGCGAAGTACCTTTCTCAAGAAAGATTTAAATTCTCGCGTAGGTCGCTGGGTCTTGGACCTTAGCGAATACCAGTATGAAATCAAACGTAAGGGCAATCAACAAATGCGCCATGTAGACGCCCTTAGTCGCAATCTGTCTGTTCATGACTGTGGGGTACATGCCGTAGTTATAAGCGATGACGATTGGCTTCTCGCGGTACAACAAGCTGACAAAAGCATAATGCAACAAAAAGCGATCCTAGAGACTGGAGATCGGCAAGGTAACAAAGAGATTTTTACTAACTATGTGCTCAAAGGCAGAAAAGTCTATAAAATAACAAGTACAGGTTTACGCTGGGTCGTGCCTAAAGCAAACAGATTTCAGTTACTGCGAATGATGCACGATGATGTAGGGCATTTTGGTTTTGAAAAGACGTACGAATTTCTCTCGAGTAAGTTTTGGTTTCCTAAAATGCAGAGATTTACTACTAAATATATTCGAAATTGCTTGAACTGTCTTTTCTTTAAGTCTCCAGGCGGAAGGAAAGCCGCAGGGTTACTTACATCCGATCAAGAAAATTCCTCAACCGTTTCATACGGTTCACACAGATCATTTGGGTCCCTTTGTTAAAACAAAGCAAGGAAACACTTATCTCTTAGTAATCATAGACGCATTTACTAAATTCATTCTACTATACCTGTCAAAAGTACGCAAACAAAATATGTCGTCTCCTCGTTTCGTAAATTCATAAAAATCTTCGGGGTCCCAAAGCGCATTATTAGTGATAGGGGTAAAGCGTTCGACAATAAAACTTTTCGCGCTTTCTGTGCAGACCTTGCGATAACACACCACTTGAATGCAACTGCCATGCCACGGGGCAACGGCCAAGTGGAGCGGTATAACAGAGTAATCCTTGAATCATTCATGAGCGGCGATGTCGACGACGACGAATGGGACTCTAATGTAGATAATATTCAACTGGACATTAACGGGACACTTAATACTGCAATTGGCGTTCCACCAAGCGAAGCGCTTATGGGTTATAGAATATGTTCACAGGGTCTGATGCAAACTGAGGGCGTAGCTGCACGTCCAGTGGATGTTACCGAGGTGCGGAGACAAATGATCGAACGAGTAGAGCGGTACCAGACTCAGCAGAAAAAGCAATTTGACAAAGGGCGAAGTGTAGCCAAGACCTATCAGGAGGGAGATCTGGTTCTGATCCGTGTAACATGTAACGCTGCCACAGGAGTCAGTCAAAAGCTCCTGCCAAAATGGAGAGGCCCTTTTCGGGTGGTGAAGGTCTTGGACAACGATCGCTATGAGGTCAGAGATATCCCAGGTGCTACCAGGAGTCGAGTGGCGTACCAAGGACTTTGCGGCGCTGAGAATATGCGTCCATGGATTCGTCTTGGTGATGACTAAACAAGAGTAGCAGTGGGTAACGTATGAAGGGGTAACTTGAGGACTGGCAGGTGCGATGCCTGTGTACTTTTCTCTAGTTACGTGGTCGAAGTTGTGCAGGTAGCGATTACCAAGGCTTAAAATTGCGGGTAGAGATTACCCGACCGGCAAACAACCAGCGGTAGGGCAGGTGCGATGTCTGTGAATACTAACTTACCCTGTGTTGATCTCGACCATAAGTAAGGACTACTTTTAAGACATATGGGGCCCCACAATATCTCGTATTATTATCTTGTTTTTATTTGTGTTTTCGTTGTTCAGATCTGCAGCGTTCTTGTCTTATGTGTTATTCGTCTGTAGGTTACATTCTATTTGATACTTAGACGTGTTGAAGTTCTAGCTCAAGAAATACCCTAAGTGAGGACACTCAGGTTGTCAGGAAGGGCCGTGTTGGCGTGAAATGCGACCATTGGCCGGGTCTCGAGGGGAGCCACCGGGTACAACCTACGTCATACCGTGGTGCGTCGCTGGGACCCGATGGTACCCGAGAACGGCTGGACAACAGCACGCGGTGGGAAGTCCAGCATCAGCTAGCGAGAAAACTCGAACTAGAGCAGTCACATGTTTCCTTAAATAACGCTAAATAAATTTGTACATCTGAATTCGGTGATTAATTTCCACAATCGTGTTCTGGGGGACGGGGGGCTTTCTTTTATGCGTTAGCTGCGTCATCTGGATAACACCATTCAACAAGTACGTGGAATCGCATCACTGATACCGTATCACCGTATCTCGCGCCGAGGAAGTCGTAGGTACTCACTAAACGCCGATTGTCAACCGTTGACTGGATATTTTTGGGTTTATTTATTATGTGTTTGCTTTGGGGTAAGCTGGGGTCAGTTCACGATATAAATCTCTTTCAAATTTCTTGTTTAAAATCATTGATAGAACAGAATGTGAATAATTTAATCTTTTTCAAATTTCTTGTTGTTTAAAATCATGGATAAAACATGAATAATTTAATCTCATTTAAATTTCTTTGTTGATGTTAAAGATGTTAGTTAAGAATGTTGATGGAGTGTGGCCAATTAAATTGTGATTGTTGCCTTGTCTGGAATCTAAATACTTACTCATTTTGCTAGGCGTAGTTTAACTCGGGGGTCATCTGGCGCAGACACGGTGGCGGAGCCGGCTCCGTGCGAGTATTTACGGGTTTTGCCGGACTTTCAACCTTAGCGGACTCGGAGTTCACTCACCAGCTGCCTTATTTGCAGAGAAGGAGGTCAGCCTAGCTCAGGTGGGTGCGTAAAACCACGCGCGTGAAGTGGCGATGGTAGGGCCATTTGGGCCTTCGTGGGGAGTACGGCTGTCGCCCTGCACCCGCTGTATGCCCCAATATTGTTTGTAGATGCCACACTATCATAGTATCTGGAACGTTGCCATCCATTTAGTTTGCCGAGAAGTCCGCATTTTTTTTTTGTTTATTGTTGTACTTGCGAAATTGCTAATATTTTTCTATGTTCTCAGGTTGCAACAAGAATAAAGTTTTTTTTTTCACTGAAGAATAAATTCTTTAAGTTCTTCTGCGGCCCAAGGCCAAGGCCCCTCGAGCTCTTATTGGGTTTATTTCTCATTGCTTTTTTTCCTTGTATAAAGGGCCCCCTAGACGTAAAAACAAGTTTGCTATATTTGTATGTACCAACAAAATCGTCATACAAAATAACTACAGCACTACATGTCACAACAAATATGACTTAATAGTTTGAGTTAATTGAATGTGCGTACATAAATCGTCACTACACATAAAATGTTTGTATAAATTGTTTGTACAAACAGATTTTTTCAATCAAGTCAAAGTAATTTTATGCATGTTTGATCGTTATGTTGTAGCTCAACATGGTTTTAGACTACATGTTACAATAAAAATTAGCATATATGTATGGACAAATCTGTTTGTGCATACGAAAAATTACGTCTAGTTTAAGATTATATATGTGCAAACTTATCACACAAACATTGTTTGAAGAATCTGCAGGTTTTGATTTTCAATGCGTTTTTTATGGGGTGACGACTTCGGTGAGGAAGCAGGTAATCACTGTTCACTGCAGAAATATTTGCGTGCATATCGAAAGACTCCGTAATTACGATCATCGGCAGTTGTAATATGAAAGCTCTTTAATATACGAAAGAATGAGTGATTTACGAAATTATTCAAAACAATTTATTGAAGAATTCATCGAGGACTTTAGGTCTTTGCCATGTCTATGGAAAATTAAAAGCAAAGAATATACAAATCGCAGTTAGAGAAATCAAGCACATACAATATTAATTAATACATTAAACGAAATATAGCCAGAGGCAAACAAAGACATCATCATTAAACATTAAACATGGTGCAATTTGCTTTAGCAACCAACCAAAATAGTTTTCGTCCATACGTAAAAAATTTTGTAAATCGGCTTTTGACGACACCCGCTGCTCATTCAGTAAATGCATTGAGGAAACTGTTGTCTTTTGTTATACTACTCCTTGCACCAGTGCCAGATGCGTGTTTTCTGATTTTCTTCTTGCAATAAAACAAGAATTATAACAGCAGCGTTTTTTTCTCTTGACATCGCGGTAAACCGGAACACACAATATCTTTTATTATAGTAATTACAATGATTCAAATTACTAATAATAACGTCTAGGGTCGATACAAATCAAATCAACTAGTGTTACAGAAATCTGCGTACGCACAATATCGTTACAACTTGCTTTAAAACCAGACCAGCAAACATGATCGTACAAAGACTTTATACATGTTTGTTTGCAGCGATCAGTAGTAGCATTTAGGTACACGATATGTATCTTAAACTCCTTACATTTAGTCCTCAACAAGTTACGTCCCTACATTAAACAAATTATTCTCAACAAGTTTGGATGATTTCGATCATATTTAGAACAAAGCTGCGTATAAGTGCAACTTTTGTATGTACATACAAATCTGACAAACTTGCATCTGCGTCTAGGGGCCGCTTTAGGTTTTTAATTCCATCATTCTTCCCGCTCCGAGTGCACCAATTTGTATGAACGACCGCTTCCCGCCATTTTTCAAAACACAATATAGGGTCTCACTTTTGCAGACGATCACAGCTCAGGCCAAATTTCAAATTTTCGCGGGTTTTTCAAATTTTGTCAATTGGACCACGTTAACCAAAAAATCGATATCATCTGAAAAACCCTCCACATAAAATTCACAGTTTATTCCCCGTAAGTTTTTGTAAAAGAGTTTTACATCCTCGGGAATAAAAGGACATAATGTTTTTAGATCTGCCAACATTTTACGCGATATTGCTTTTCCATTGGGCCATAATGTAGACAATTGGCCAAAATTTTTAGAAGTCTTTTCCTTTTATGCATCAAAACTTCATTGTAGATCTCATTTTCCTGATTACTTGTCATAAAAATAGAAAGCGGTTTATCTTTAGTAAGTTTAATCACTCTTGTTTTCAAGCATCTAATTTTTTGTTCATGTATGCCCAGGGCCGGATTTAACTAGTCTAATGCCCTAGGCACCAAAGAGTGGTGGTGCCCCCAACCCTCCCCAGAAATAAGGGAGTGTTTGCATAACGCCTTTAAACTTTATTAATTCTTTATTGAACAAGAATCTACCTTCATTTACAAGTTATACTTGTAAATATATAGTCTAAAGTCTAAAGGATTTATTATCTTATTAAATGATTCCAAGATTGCTAAAGTTGCACAACATGAGCCTCCCAACGGGTGCCCGAAAGTGTCTTCAAAATATTGGCATTTTGAATAGCAAATTTCGTAAGATTCTACTCGCCTGTCAAAGCTGAAAAAAAATTATAAACTGTTTGTATAACGGAAAAAAAATTAACAGCAATTTGACATTTTTTTTTAATTTGTGGCAATGTCAAAGGGCCTTTTTAAATTTATTAATAATTTATGAATTTTAATTTCATTTTAAACATAAAAAATTCTTCAATAAAAAATGAAATGCTGTTGACTTTTATGAAAATTACAAGAACTGAAAACTTACCTTTTCTAAATATGACTGACAACAATAACACTTACAGTACAAAGGTACTAAAATAAAAATCAAATTGTAATGCTACTGCACAAATTGCGAAGCGCCGACAGCTTCTAAATCTGCTACTGTACGATGCTGAAATATATTGTTTCTTAAATGACCTGTTTAGAAAATCTCCTATTTAAATTCTCACGAATTTCAGAAACTACTTTATAGTTTTTCACACGATTTGTACGGCAAACCCACCTTTGTTAACATAAGGATACGGGTTCTATAAGGTTCAGTATTCCGTACTGATTTGCTCGCAAACTGACCGCCTCTGCACATGTGATTTCCTGTGTCAGCCGCGGTGACCTACCACAAAGAATTACCCGAAAAAAAAAATTAAAAATTTGTCAATGAGTACTAAGATAATAATAAAATGTTGCAATTTTTTATTTTAAATATACATTTCCAAAGATTTTGGGGCCTCTCCAGCTTTGATGCCCTAGGCCAGTGCCTAGTGTGCCTTACTATAAATCCAAAGCTGTGTATGCCTTCTATTTGTGACACTAGACTCTAAATCGGCTTCACTACAAAAATGTTCTTTCTGCATAAACTAAACAATAAGTGGATTTTTCTTTCTACATTTTAACATGATATTAGTGTAATCTTATGGCGTATATACTTAATGACTCCAAAATCTTTGTCATTTGGTAAAAAACTATGTTCGGAAACAAAAAATTTCAAATAAATCGTTTGTTAAGTAGAATGTTGCTGTAAAATTAATTTTAGCATGAATACAGTTTTTATATTACTATTTTGACGCCCACAAGAGTCAGACCACAGAGTCAGTTCTCTTACATCCTTTTTGGTAAAATTTTCAGCAGGTATTAAGCTCTTAAGACAAGATCCCACCTTTTGTACCCACGACCTATTTTCTTTTTTTCCAAATAAAATAGTGTCCTTTCCTTGTTTTACCGGAGTAAATACCCTCGTTATAAAGCCAAAATTGACGCTTATAAAACACTACGTTTGTAGGATAGTTACAAGGAAACAAAGCACTGTCCAACCAATTAAAAAAGCGCTGTGTCGCTTGGTACCGTTTTGATTAAAACATAATGCCAGATTTATTAAAGGCGCATAGTTCTACCTCAAATTTTGGTATAAAAATAATTAAGACAGATAAAGGATTTTTACAAATTAGTTTTTGACATTAAATTCTGCCTGTTATTAGGATGTTTAACTCATTTTTTGCGATTTGGCGCTTAGTACGTTTTTGGTTAACATCGTTCAATTTAAGGCGGGAGGTTTGGGTCATCAGTCTTTGCCATTTCTATTGAAACACCACCTGTTGATTTTGGTTAAAATTTAGCAATTGGTAACAGCTTTCGGTTGATTGACAACGGCTTTTAGTTGGAAAATTGTATGAATATGAACGTTGCCAAATTTACGATGTGGTGTTTCAATAGAAATGGCAAAGACTATACCAGAGAACATAGAGAAGCGCCATAGTTTAAATTAAATGACGGTTGAGGACTTCGCAATTTATGTTGGCAGCAGTGTTTGGTTCTAACTAGGAATAAAATTAACTAGAAGAAATGTCACAATATTTTTAACGACGCGTTTTACTTTCGACAAATTGAC